GATCTTCACATGAAAAGGTAGATATCCTAAGTGGTTGCTGATATACAGGCCAAGGAGAAGTCGAGAAAGGCTGTGGATAAAAGCAACGGTTTGCACTTGCTGCTGGACCAGGAGTGAAAGGAGAATAACCTGGTTTGATTGGTGTGAACATGTGTTCCTGGCTTGGGTTGGGTGTGAACAGATGTTTCTGTTTTGGTTGGGTTGTAACTTGATGAATGTTATATTTACCAGTGCTCTTCAAGTAGGCTAACATCTTAAATTCATCTCCATCAGATAAAACTTCAGACTTAACCTCCCAATCTTCACCACGTTGATTAAAACAATGACAAAGTGTGTCACTGACTTACATGACCATGTCAACACAACCTGGTTGTACACTATAACTATAAACAATGACAATGTGTGTCACTGACTTACATGACCATGTCAACACAACCCGGTTGTACACTATAAATATAAACAATGGCAATGTGTGTCACTGACTTACATGACCATGTCAACACAACCCGGTTGTACACTATAAATATAAACAATGACAATGTGTGTCACTGACTTACATGACCATGTCAACACAACCCGGTTGTACACTATAAATATAAACAATGGCAATGTGTGTCACTGAATTAATTACATGACCATGTCAAAACAACCCGGATGTGCACACAACAATATAAACAATGACAATGTGTGTCACTGAATTACATGACTATGTCAACACAACCCGGCTGTGCACAAAACAATGTAAAAACAAATGACAATATATGTCACTGAATTAAATTATGCCAATGGTGAAGCACTGTTGTAGGTATATACAATGGGGGAAGCAATGCTTTGATAGGTGATAAAGAAAACACAATAGGCGCTGTTTTGTTTTGTTTTTTAGAAAAACTTAAATACACCAATTGCAAGTACGCAATATACAAGTGACCTTGATCACCAGATATGTGTTTAAAGAAAACAAATAAACACATATAATAATCGCAGAAAATATGCACAAAAAGCACCAAACCTTCACAGTGTGGACTTTGAACACAACAGTGCAGGAAAGCACCAGTAAAATATACCCGTTGTGCTGAACCGGAATAAATAACTACCTCCACAATGACATACCCAGACGAATAGAACACCAAGGGAGACAATCGCCGACAGGTAATTATGAGGATGGGTGAAAAAGACAGAGAGACAAATGCTAAGGTGACATGGGAGTGTAGGTATATACTAACACTTTATTGATATAAACTAAGTCCAATGATTGATGAAAATTAAGTTACATTTACTTTAACACGAACGGGGCCAAACAACGCGGAAACGTATAACGCGAGTGCAGCTGTTATTAGTGCAAGTGTACGTGACGGACGCGCTCACACATGCAATCACGTAATGTAAATAATGAAGAACAACAAACCCTCAATATTATTGACAACACTGAAGATCGTTTTACAGACGATGAAAATAAGACATGGCAATGAAACTAAATTTAAACTAAACTAAACTACACTAAACTAGAACCAAATGCTAAACTAAATACTAGAAACACAGGAACTAAGATAAACTGCAGTAGCAGATATTCTAGCTTAAAACGATAGGCGTATAATGCACCTATAGGTTTTAAGATAGAACACAAGTTTATGTACAAAGTATATATTGCGCAAGGGTTGTAGATGTTTCATAAAATGCGTGTATACACAGAAAATAAAGTTATGACATGCAAGTCACGGTGACACAGATGATGAAGTGTTTATAAAGTACACGATGATGTAAAGTCTTTAAGTCTGATGATGATCACTTCTTAAAAGTTAATCACAGAATATATCACAGGTGAAAGTATCACAGATAAACACAGTCATGGTTGATGTCACAGGTATCATAAAGTCACTCACAGTAATCGTGAATCAGTCACTTGTTGGTAGGTTGTATGCCGTATCATGATCCATGCATCGGCGGTTGACGAACCATGCAAGTACATAGGCCTAGTCGTGAAAGCGGGGTCGTCGTCGACGTTGTGTTGCTCAGGTGTAATGACAACTCCGTCCCTCTTCGGGCGCCATTTTGTCGCAGGTTCAGGCTTCTAGTCGTCCCAGACAAGTATTGAAGACGGAGTTTCTTTTAAAATGTATTTATTTGCCTGTAACATGAAACGTCAACATTAGAAAAGTGTTGAGTGCTGTCGGCCAATCCTACCAGGCTGACAGGTGACAATTGTCTGTGCGATCAAATTCCCGTGACATCACAGGTAGAAGCCCGTGAATTAGGCGTTAAGCCAGGTAGGGGTAGCACGTACAACTCCTTATATGTAGACAATGGAGGACCGGCCTTAAGATGGACCAAAGTAGAATGTAGCCTGCCGGCGACATAAGTGTTAAGGTCAGTTTTCCATATCGAAACATACTTAACTACAGCTAATGAAATCCGCCTGATGCACAGATGGCGCTGGGGTGTTATTTCTTCTGATCCTGGCATGTCACTTCGACATAAACAAGGAAGCTGGGCCGATGGTGAGGGTGTACTTCCCGTGCGTCATATATCCCCTCAGCTGTTGTGGAAACATCGAGGAATCACACACTTGTCAGTCGACAGCCAAATAAAGTATAAAGAAATGTGATTATCGAATGTCACATCTATCCGCTGTTGAATTTTTATTCTGAAGGATCCCTGCTATGTGTTTGTTTGTTGTTAAACGCCACACTCAGCAATATTCCAGCTATATGACAGCGGTCTGTAAATAATCGAGTCTGGACCAGATAATCCAGTGATTGATATCGTGAGCATCAATCCACGCAATTGGGATACGTTGACATGTATTCCCTGTTATGTGAATGTATACGCTCAGAGAGTGTGCATGTATTGCTTAGCGTGTGATCACTTCAAATTCAGATACTATTTGACTCTGTCATAACAGAGCACATTACAAAACAGTTACATATACTGTCATACGTTAAAAAAGCAACATGTTTATTGTTACGTTTCGATTCCCAAATTAAAACGATATGTTAACCGAGAAATCTGTACATAACAGAACTTAGTGGGAAATCAAGAAACAACAAACTTGTGGTATATAATCCAAACATGTATTACACAATTAAGGAAGTTTGAAAATGATTAAAAATTACTGCTCAGCAATTACTATGGTTGCACTCAATAGAGTGGTAGTACAATATTCAACGGAAATATATGATAAAATGGGAGTGGTCAGTATCAGATCTAAATATAATGGTGATAGCCAAGTCAGTGATAATAGCATAGTCACCCAGTGGATACAGTGGTCAAGCTTCCGAGATGATCTAGGCAGGGAATCAGGGATGATGAGCGATCCTCGCATGAAAGCTGGTTCCGAAGCGATGAAATGCGTGAGATATCCGTAAAACGCTATTGTCCCTTATATACAACCTGCCTAGCTTCTGGAAATCTACTAAAGGCCATCACCATCCTAGCGGCAATAGAACATTTCAGAATATTCAATGGTATTCCGGAAGTGTACACATAGCACTAGCATCTAAATATAGTAAACTCCTCAAAACTGCTTACATTAGACAGTACTACATTCCTGATAACTAATCACCGTCCAAACACAATGAGCGTCGACCGAATCTCAACAGAAACAAGGTAACACAGTCACACTCATTGTTCAACAATAAAATACTCTGCCATATGACATAAGACATAGGCATTGAACCATGTGTCCTGGCTAGTGGGCCTATGGTACTGACCACAATAGAATAGAAATATAAAATACTGGATAGGCTTTTGGGTGTGCGAGAGAGATGCTTTGTTCACTTGTTCCTAAACGCAGCTGGAACCTTCAAGTCACAGATAAAATACTGGCATTAGCATTAGTCAGTATTTCATCTGTGACTTGAAGGATCCAGCCGCATTAAAAAAATGACGTTAATTGTCCGTTAGTTTACGGCAACAGCACAGACATTGTTATTATACAATCCGAAAATGAACATGCTGATCGATATCAACGATCAATCTATATCAATATATATTTCAGTTTTCCTTTGCAAGAACGTGTGTTCAACCTGAAAAATGTCTACGATTAAATCCGTTCATAGCACATTACTGAAGCTATCGGGACCTTCATTAGGGCCATTGCTGAGCATTAAGCAGTAGACCCGTGAAGATCCGGTGTAGAATAGGTCTTCAGCAACCCATGCTTGCCGTAAAAGGCGACTATGCTTGTCGTAAGAGGCGACTAACGAAATCGGGTGGTAAGGCTCGTTGACTTGGTTGATGCATGTCATCGTATCCCAATTGGGTGGATCGATGCTCATGATGTCAATCACTGGATTGTCTGGTCCAGACTCGATTATTTACAGACCGCCGTCATATAGCTGAAATATTGCTGAGTGCGGGGTTAAACAACAAACAAACAAACAAACAGAAAGCAGTATGTTGTGCCTGCGGGTTAACCTTCGAAGACGGCTGTCCAATATGGTCCTGTCTGACATTCAGTTTCAAAAGATTTCGTGATTCGAAAAGAACTTGTCAGCCCTGTTTCTTTTTCATCTTCAACAATTATTCCCTTAATTGCAAGATTTTACTTTGAAGGGTTTAGAATAGGAGCCACCTTTACCATGGCAAATATCCGCAAACATAGAAGCACAACGCTACGACTCCACACCCGCATGATTGCTTAAGTAGTATTAACCTGTGCGGTCATGACCCATCGTCCATAAACGAAAGATAAAACGAAACTGGAAATTAAATCGTGATGGACTATCAAACATGAGAGATTGCTTATAAATTATGGTTAAATATGTGAACTCTTATATAAGGAAGTTGTAACAACCGCCGTTACCACGTTCTTGTGATCACTTTAAAATAGACCTTGTTCCGGATATAGTTGTATATTTGGAACTCGTATAACAATCGCCGTTCTAGTGATCACTTTATATAAAATAGACCTTTTCCGGCCATAGTGCGTAATGTACAGTATCTGGCATACTTGATGACACAAAGACCACTCTGACGTATTTCGTAACTTCCGGGTCGCGTTGCTCTCGCCTTTTCGCGAGCGCCTGGTGTCGTCGCTGTGTGCTGATGATTAGTGGGCGCATGGTCGTGGTACTGTCGGGATCGTGCTGTGGAACTGGTATTTGTCGCTTATATCAACACAAAGATATGTGGTGAAACACTGCCATTTCAACATGATGTATATTCGAACAACCTGTGTCTTTTTTGGAATCATGTCATGGTCGTGTTTCTGGACATATGGAGTGGATGGAACGCCGACATATGAAGGTAAGTTTTCAGCTCACCTGAAGCAGAATCTACAATTACTTGTTCCACCAATGAGGAAATCCGAATTTGATCAAGAGATTTCAATCCGATGTTCAATCATTTTGCTGTGCTTTTTCGCCAAATGCTTTTTTCTTGAAAATAAAAGTTATCATTTATTCAAATCAGCGTTATTGACTCGGCAAGGCGACAGGGACAAGTACACATAGAAAAATTATGTTTAAAAAAAATAATAAAAAAATTGTCGTTGTGATCATTATAATTTCTGCATTCTGATTAGCTCAATTGGTCACGTGTTATTGCATTCATTTCCCATTGAATGTAAAATAATCCATGCCTACCGAGGCGCACTTCTTTTATTACTGCGGAATGTCGGGGAATCCCGATATTACAGTCGAGAGAAATCCCTTTCTGCTCACGTGTATCGTTATGGACAGGACATATAGCCAAATCCATGCATATACATCGCCCAAACTACCCTTGATACCGAAAGTCGAGAAGGAATAAACAGCAAACGTACAGGCTCGCTCGTCTGTTTCTTTCCCGCTCGCCTCGGTTCCACAAATTTCATGTCTTCGGGTTTCATTTTATTACCCGCCATTTTCCAACTTTGTCTTCCCTTTCTCAGGGAACTAATGTTTGAATCTGGCGGTAGCTGACCATGTCATTTGAAACAGCCGCCTTCTCCCGGAGATATTTGTTCCAGTTCGTTACGTTCTGACTGTTTCAATTCTTCTCGCCTCTTGCCTTGATTGGCAGGTCCTTTGAACTTTGTCCAGGACCCCAAAATACATGAATTTCATAATATTTCATTACAATCAGTCTCTTCTAGATTAAATATATTCATTTTGTAAAATTTCTACTTTATGTAATTATTAAGAAATATTAAGGTAACAATTTCGATCAAAAAGAAACACTTGGTACAATACCATACCTATAAAAGTAATTGTGGAGTCGTGTTTTGTATAAAGGAACAAAAAAAATATGTATGTTCTTGAAACTCTTGGGTTTGTCGTATGAAAAAACGACGAGAGACTTATATAGTACAAATGATACGGGAGAGCTATTTTGAGTGCAACCATTATATTCCGTTGATTCCATAACGTTGGGGTTGTTAACCAAGCAATATATTTTGTGGTCATGTTTCCATAAACCTAAAGCCATTAGACCACGCTAATTGCGCGGAATTACGTAATGCGTGCTCACATGGTTTTCCATTTATACTTCCATACACGCAAAAAAGTAAATTCTGAAACAATGCTATTCATAGACACGTGCATCATGATGTTACTGTAAACGAGGTGCACGTATCTCAGGCGCCGTTAGTAGTTGTGCAGAGTTGCGTCCCTTTGAAACGCCAGAAACCTATGATCGTTGTTTCGAATCCCGGTTCGTCCCGTTTATGTTTCTAGATTTGTCAATACCATACCCGTGCTCGTGGGTTTCAAAATGGGGTAAACATCTGAGACCTGCATCACTTCGGGCTTTTCTCCCACACCGAATAGACGCGCTGTGATAAAAAAACAAGGAAAAAACACCTAGGAATGCTACTGAAAGTGGCGTTAAACCCAACTCACCCAAAATCTGAGGGAACTTCAACAAGAATCACGTGGTACCATATGGGAGACAAACATACACCTATAAAAAGTTAAGCGCCCTTTACTATATATTTCTATACATGTTAATCATGAAATACGACAATTAATAGATAGTGATGCAGTCTGGACCAGACAATCCAGTGATCATGCTATTGTTTACTGCTTATACCTATGACATTACACACTCATGATCTGTTTATATATACATATATTATTTCTATTGCTTTTTCAGCGACATATCCTGTCACCCAGAATACATCAGTTGTAGCGGGAAGTGATGTTGTTTTGGAGTGTACGGGTAGAGCACCAGGCGTGTACGTCTGGTCCATAGCTGGTAGGAGTGAGTTTGTTGCGGATTTACAAGGAACGTCTGAAAAATGCCATATACGCTTCGGAAAACCAGTTCTACCCGGCCTGTCATTGGGAAACACGGACTGCACTAAACATGCTCTCAACATCTCCAACATCAGCAACGAGCACGATGGAATTTGGAGTTGCAGATTAGACAAATACTCAACCAGGAAAATCCATGTCCATGTTGTGGCGCCACCGGCAGGTACTGTAAGACGATCTTTCATTATTAGTGTTTTAGCTATGATGTTCAACATGGAAAATGCAATGTTGAATAAGGCTGCCCGAATCATATCCTCTCCATCTTCATTCAGTTATAAATCACGTAGTGACCAGGGAAAGTTGTTGTCTTTACGCTATATCAGACCATTTACACGAAAGGAAGACCACGTGGCGTCAGTCGCCATAGGATGTTATGTAAAGTATAATAAGAATATTTTCCTTCCAACTTTTCCATGCAATTTAATCTCAACTAACCAATATATGACGTTATCATCTTCATAACAAACACTGTTGGATTATCGTTTATGATGTACCCCTATCCTATGTCTATATAAACCTTTCAACTTCCTCGGGAAAAGTAATTTATTTCAACTCTGTCTGCCTATGATAATATGTCATATGCAAGCTAACTATACATTGCTCTCACCATATCGAAAACAAAGGATCGACGAACCCATTTAGATTAAGTTTGGTCACATTATGGGGATACAATTGCATTTCCAGCATGTTAAAAATTATGACAAATTAACCAACAGGACGTTTCTAGAGAAATATGTCAGCATCCTTGGCTGACTTGAGGGGAAACTCCTCCTGGACGTGCCCGCTCTTGATGGCTTCTAACACTAGCTCCACACCTTCACTCACTCACCCAACAGGATGTTCACATGAATCACATACATCTTCAACGTTTTACAAAATAATAGGGCTTGTAATAGGTTTGTTTGTTTGTTGTCACAAGTTAACGCCGCGCTGAGCAATATTCCAGCTATATGACGGCGGTCTATAAAAATAATCGAGTCTGGACCAGACAATCCAGTGATTGACATAAAGAGCATCGATCCATGCAATCGGGATACGATGACATGCATCAACCAAGTCAGCGAGCCTGACCACCCGATCCCGTTAGTCGCCTCTTGCGACAAGAATAGTCGCCTTTTACGGCAAGCATGGGTTGCTGAAGGCCTGTTCGCTTGTAATAGGCAGTACATTTAAACGTATTCTTTATGGTAGTCCTTTAAATTCCTTTCTTTTTAAATAGATAAACAGTATTGGGATACGTCAAACAAATTAAGAAAATGTTATTGCTTTTTCATGCATTTTACTTTTCAAAACATTTTCTCCAGAGGTGTCAACTACCAATTATTTTTGCACAGTTTAAGGCTTTAGAGTGTGCTGGCTTTTAATTTCTAATCACTGCTTAGAACAAACAACTTTAAAAACAACGAGTCTGGCATCGTCAACAAGGAGAAAAGTGACATCAACATCAACAGCTCAAGCCACTACTACGTCCACTGCCCCCGGACCTACTCACTCAACAAATAAACCTACAACCTCTGTAACGGATACAAGCAGCACTGGGTACAAGAATGAAAGCAGAACCAAAGACTCTACAAATCCCCAAACACCCCCCGTAAACTCCATGCTTCCCCTGCTTGGAGGAACCATTGGCGGTGCTCTGGTTCTACTTGCTGCCGTCATCGCTGTCTGCTGCTTACTCCGATCAAGGAAACAGAGGCAAACCGATGGCTGTAAGTACTGTACTGTTCACAAGAGAGTGAGTGAGGGAGTTGGGTTTGGTTCAACGCCGCTTTGAACAGTTTTTCAAACGTTGCCGGCACTCCATCTTCATATAAGAAGCCGTGTATGTCAGTAGCAAGTAATGGCGAAGTGAATTCGTTAGAGTTAGTGTGTTTGGGTAAATGCTGATTTGAACTGTATGGCAGTTGCATCATGGTGTGTCAGCTTGATGTGGGAGGGAAACCAAGTGATGCATGTCTTAGGTTTTTACCATTTTGGTGAAGCCCACGAGCAGGGATATGGTGCTGGCAAACCTGGAAACAGGATTCGAACCGACTAGACAAATAATGAGGAGGAACCGGGATTCGAACCCAAGGCCACAGGTCCGTGGGAAGCCTAAGCGACGCAACTGCACAGAGAACTCCGATGTCTTAGGGAGAATGGGACATCATTATACAAATATCGTTTTTGACCTCTCCAGACGTAATAATGAAATGTTGTTATCAATTTATATCATTGTTCAGGGAATTTGTTTTTCTTGAATCATATTTGCTCAAATAGCAAAACATTTATTGCAAAAAAAATTACAAAATAAATAAATGTTTGTGCATATTACCTAGTATATACCAGTTGTAGTTACTCCGTAGCGATAAGTGACGTAGGCATGTTGTTTGAATGATATGAATCCAATGCTGTACTATTCATTCTTCCTTAGCTGCTGAGCGGCCTGTCAAAGGTCATCACAGGTATGTAGAGGTATTTCTTCATCTTTTTCGCGAACACCTGGCATCATCACTGTTTGATAGTGTTTAATAATACATGCTGATGACAATGTCGGAAACGTATGATGGACTCAACCTTTAGTGGAGGTTTCATATGATTGTGGGAGTGGTTTTGTCACTTTATTTAATTAAAAAAGGATTGAAAGAGCGAAGGATATGTGATGTCATGGATTGTCTGCATAAAATGAACGTTGTTGCTGTTGTCTGAGACTCGAATATCAGCATGGTACAGACAGTGCAAGATCCTTATCCACAACTAATACATAATTATCTTTTAAAAAACAAAATAACAAATGATTCAGTTATGTGAGTGAGTGAGTGAGTTGGGTTTAACGCCGCTTTTAACAGTATTCCAGTTATATCACGGCGTGTCAGCTTAATGTGGGAGGAAAGCCCGAAGTGATGCAGGTCTCAGACGTTTACCACTTCGGTGAAACCCACGAGCACGGGTGTGGTGCTGACAAACCTAGAAACATAATTGGGGCGAACCGGGATTCGAACCCACAATCCTAGGTTTCTGGCGTGCCCAAGGGACGCATCTCTCCACATCGAATCGCGGCGCCTTAGACGACTGGGCCACCCGTGCCCCCGATTCAGTTATGTAACAGAGTGCCAGCTCGATGTGGTCGGAAGGCTGAAGCTGTGCAGGTCGCAGACGTTTACCACTTAAATGAAACCACGAACACGGGTATGGTGCTGACAAACCTAGAAACATAGGGATTCGAACCCATGATCACAATGAAATGCGGCGTCGTAGATTTATTAGTGTGCTAATATAACAAAGTAAACTAAACCAAAGGCAGTTCAATTTAAATAATGCGACATCTCTGAATTTCAAACAATCTTATTCCAACAGGTTTTAACTGAACTGATTTATTCATGTTGTATGTCAACACAAACCGAATATGATGTAATCATACACATTTAACTTATCAGAAATCAAGATCCGGAACAGGGAGAAGATGATGGTCAGTACATATAAATACGAGATTATTAAATCACACATTCAGTTTTGAAGTGTTTTATTAAAGAGGGATACAATCTATACATGACAAAACTGTAAACAAATATCAACAAATGCAAGAAACTTTCTTTCTTTTTTTCCTCTGTCAATATCAATATCAATATTTCGTTGAGGCAAATTTCCCCATCCACTTTGCAGTGATGGTGGGTAATCCCATCTACAGCAGCTACGATGGGGGCGTGGACTATGCCCAGATAGGTGGGGCCAGACAGACAGCCAGCACCAAGGGTGAGTCAATGGTATATATGACAAGGGGAGGTGTGGGGACGTCACTATGTCCTGATAGGTGAGTCTAGGCAGACAGACAGCACCCCGGGTGAGTCTATGGTATAGATGACAAGGGTGGGTAATCCCATCTACAGCAGCTACTTTGGGGACGTGGACTATGCCCAGATAGGTGGGGCCAGACAGACAGCAAGCACCAAGGGTGAGTCTTTGGTATATATGACAAGGGGGAGGTATGGGGACGTCACTATGTCAAGATAGGTGGGGCCAGACAGACAGAAAGCACCAAGGGTGAGTCTATGGTATATATGACAAGGGGGGGGGGGGGGGGGGGGGGGGGTATGGGGACGTCACTATGTCCAGATAGGCGGGGCCAGACAGTCAGACAGCACCCAGGGTGAGTCTATGATATATATTACAAAGGAAGGTGTGGGGACGTCACTTTGCCCAGATAGGTGGGGCCAGACAGACAGCCAGCACCCAGGGTGAGTCTATGGTATAAATGACAAGGGGGAGGTGTGGGAACGTCACTATGTCCTGATAGGTGGGACCAGACAGACAGCTAGCACCCAGGGTGAGCCTATGGTATAGATGACAAGGGGGAGGTGTGGGGACGTCACTATGCCCAGATAGGTGGGGCCAGACAGACAGGCAGCACCCAGGGTGAGTCTATGGTATAGATGACAAGGGGGAGGTGTGGGGACGTCACTGTGTCCTGATAGGTGGGGCCAGACAGACAGACAGCACCCAGGGTGAGCCAATGGTATAGATGACAAGGGGGAGGTGTGGGGACATCACTATGTCCTGATAGGTTGGGCCAGACAGACAGCACCCAGGGTGAGTCTATGGTATAGATGACAAGGGAGAGGTGTGGGGACGTCACTGTGTCCTGATAGGTGGGGCCAGACAGACAGCCAGCACCCAGGGTGAGTCTATGATATAGATGACAAGGGGGAGGTGTGGGGACGTCACTATGTCCTGATAGGTGGGTCCAGGCAGCCAGCACCCAGGGTGAGTCTATGGTATATATGACAAGGGGGAGGTGTGGGGACGTCACTACGTCCTGATAGGTGGGACCAGACAGACAGCTAGCACCCAGGGTGAGCCTATGGTATAGATGACAAGGGGGAGGTGTGGGGACGTCACTATGCCCAGATAGGTGGGGCCAGACAGACAGGCAGCACCCAGGGTGAGTCTATGGTATAGATGACAAGGGGGAGGTGTGGGGACATCACTATGTCCTGATAGGTTGGGCCAGACAGACAGCACCCAGGGTGAGTCTATGGTATAGGTGACAAGGGAGAGGTGTGGGGACGTCACTGTGTCCTGATAGGTGGGGCCAGACAGACAGCCAGCACCCAGGGTGAGTCTATGATATAGATGACAAGGGGGAGGGGTGGGGACGTCACTATGTCCTGATAGGTGGGTCCAGGCAGCCAGCACCCAGGGTGAGTGTATGGTATATATGACAAGGGGGAGGTGTGGGGACGTTACTATGTCCAGATAGGTGGGGCTAGACAAGACAGACAGCACCCAGGGTGAGTCTATGGTATATATGACAAGGGGGAGGTGTGGTAGCCTGGTTGTCAAAGCGTTGAATCTTCAATCCAAAGACCCGGGTTTGATTGCTTACTTCGCCGCTAATAGCTGCAAGATTCCCCACGTGGCCATAATGTTGCAACCCTATGTCTGGTGTCCACCGTCGTTCTGTGGCTAAAACCGGGGAAAACCCCGCCCACTCATTTAATAAACTTATAGCTGTATGCTTGGACATTCCTGTTGTATTGATAAATGATCCGTCAGCTTTTAAACGTTCACGAAGTCGATTGACAAAAGTTTCATTCATTGGAAGGGGCCTGTTTCATTCTTTCCTTTACCAATTCTGACGATTTTTTAAAATTTAAATCCATCATGTATCAAGTAGATGGATCAATTTCTCGAAATTTAAACATTTGATCTATGGGTCTATCTTGAAGGTCTCGTACACTGTTTTTTAATCATTGGCACTGATTCATTTGTAAACATGTCTCATGTTGTACTGAATACTGTCTCCTTTAGACCCCCAGGCGTCCCCTGGTACATCTCAGGAGGTTGCAGACATATACGCCATCCCGGATAAACAGCGTTCATCAACACTGAATGGTGAGTCGCAGGAAAACTGTGTTAATGAATACTATTTGCCCGAAAATCATGGACAAAAGAATTCTACACATTTTACAGATAACATAGAATTGTTTGCTGGATAAACTTAATGTCCTGAAAAAATGTCTTAGGATCCTCCTTTGTGGATATCATGTCTAGGGATCCTCCTTTGTGTTTATGATGTCTTGGGATCATCCTTTGTCGATATCACGTCTGAGGATCCTCCTTTGTGGATATCATGTCTTAGGATCCTCCTTTTTCGGATATCATGTCTTGGGATCCTCCTTTGTGTTTATGATGTCTTGGGATCCTCCTTTGTCGATATCACGTCTGAGGATCCTCCTTTGTGGATATCCTGTCTAAGGATCCTCCTTTGTGGATAGCACGTCTTAGGCTCCTCCTTTGTCGATATCACGTCTTAGGATCCGATTTTGTGGATATCATGTCTTAGGGTCCCTCCTTTGTGGATATCATGTCTTGGGATCCTTCTTTGTGGATATCCTGTCTTAGGATCCTCCTTTGTGGGTATCATGTCTTGGGATCCTCCTTTGTGGGTATCATGTCTTAGGATCCTCCTTTGTGGATATCATGTCTGAGGATCCTTCTTTGTAGATATCATGTCTTAGGATCCTCCTTTCTCGATATCATGTCTTAGGATCCTTATTTGTGGATATCACGTCTAAGAATCCTCCTTTGTGTTTATCACGTCTTTGGATCCTCCTTTGTGGACATCATGTCTTGAGGCAGTGTCCGAAAAAATATTGTCTCACAAAAAAGATAAATGTGCAGGAAAATTGCATATATGGACAACTTCTGTTCTACAATTAGGAGCAACGTTTCGGTGTAGGTTAAACACTAAGTTTGTTATCCATATATGTCCTTACTTAGTACTCCACCCGTGAAGATCGGTGGTAGAATAGGTCTTCAGTAACCCATGCTTGCCATTAAAGGTGACTATGCTTGTCATAAGAGGGGACTAATTGGATCGAGTAGTCAGGCTTGCTGACTTAGTTGGTGCATTCATCGTGTCCCAATTACGTGCATCGATGCTCATGATATCAATCACTGGATTGTCTGGTCAAAACCAGATTAATTACACTCCGCCGACATATAGCTGGAATATTGTTGTGTGTGGCGTTAAACAACGATCAATCATTGTTCTTACAAAAGTCTATATATGTACCGAGTACAAAGAAGTGTGAAGGTTAGTAGCCTTTCACACTCCAAATATTTGACGGCGGTCTGTAAATCATCGAATCTGGACCACACAATCCAGTGATTGAAAAACAGAAATACTATGTTCAATCTGCGTTTTTAATTAATTAAAGTTTCATTAATGAGTCATTGTGTCTTTGATATACGTTCTTGGACTATGGTTGTAATAGTTATTTATGCATTGAACATCAGTAACCAAATTATACACATATGTGTACATGTACATACTAACTTTTTGAAGTAGGATGTTGTTGGTAACTAAAAAGTTAGATTACCATTGTTTCTTGAAGCGGAGGCCGTTGCCTGTGATGTGTACAGCGTCGTACAGAAACAACCCAAGTCGGAAGGCCAGGGAATGTCACACCAACCGACGGACAAAGATGGTAGGTCAGATTAGTATTGCCGAGGGAGTGATAGAGTGTGGTTGTACTTTTAGCAATATTACGGCGGGGAATTCATACAGTGCATCCATACGGATATTCGAATTCGATTCACTGAGCTACCATACCTTCCATCTGGCTTTGCCATTATGTACATGTGCAAAATGTCTTTTTGAAGTAGGATGTTATTGGAAATATAAGATAGCTATCACAACGTCATTTCTGGAGATTCGAACATGCCCTTTGTCGATATCACGCCTTGGGATCCTCCTTTGTGTTAATCATGTCTTAGGATCATCCTTTGTGGATATCACGTCTTAGGATCCTTCTTTGTGGATATCATGTCTCAGAATCCTCCTTTGTGGATATAAAGTCTTAGGTTCCTCCTTTGTGGATATCATGTCTTAGGGTCCTCCTTTGTGGATATCATGTCTTAGGTTCTTCCTTTGAGTTGATCACGTCTTAGGTTCCTCCTTTGTGGATATCATGTCTTAGGTTCCTCCTTTGTGGATATCATGTATTTGGGTCCTCCTTTGTGGATATCATGTCTTAGGGTCCTTCTTTGTGGATATCATCTCTCAGAAACCTCCTTTGTGGATATCATGTCTCAGAATCCTCCTTTGTGGATATCATGTCTTAGGTTCCTCCTTTGTGTTAATCATGTCTTAGGGTCCTCCTTTCTCGATATCACGTCTTAGGTTGCTTATTTGTGGATATCATGTCTTAGGGTCCTCCTTTGTGGAAATCATGTCTTTGGATCCTCCTTTGTGGATATCATGTCTTGAAGCAGTGTCCGAAAAAATATTATGTCTCAGAACAAAGATAAATGTGCAGGAAAATTGCATATATGGACAACTTCTGTTCTACAATTAGGAGCAACGTTTCGGTGTAGGTTAAACACTAAGTTTGTTATCCATATATGTCCTTACTTAGTACTCCACCCGTGAAGATCGGTGGTAGAATAGGTCTTCAGTAACCCATGCTTGCCATTAAAGGTGACTATGCTTGTCATAAGACGGGACTAATTGGATCGAGTAGTCAGGCTTGCTGACTTAGTTGGTGCATGTCATCGTGTCCCAATTACGTGCATCGATGCTCATGATATCAATCACTGGATTGTCTGGTCAAAACTTGATTATTTACACTCCGCAGAGAGAGAGCTTGCATATTGTTGTGTGTGGCGTTAAACAACGATCAATCATTGTTCTTACAAAAGTCTATATATGTACCGAGTACAAAGAAGTGTGAAGGTTAGTAGCCTATCACACTCCAAATATTTGACGGCGGTCTGTAAATCATCGAATCTGGACCACACAATCCAGTGATTGAAAAACAGAAATACTATGTTCAATCTGCGTTTTTAATTAATTAAAGTTTCATTAATGAGTCATTGTGTCTTTGATAAACGTTCTTGGACTATGGTTGTAATAGTTATTTATGCATTGAACATCAGTAACCAAATTATACACATATGTGTACATGTACATACTAACTTTTTGAAGTAGGATGTTGTTGGTAACTAAAAAGTTAGATTACCATTGTTTCTTGAAGCGGAGGCCGTTGCCTGTGATGTGTACAGCGTCGTACAGAAACAACCCAAAACGGAAGGCCAGGGAATGTCACACCAGCCGACGGACAAAGATGGTAGGTCAGATTAGTATTGCCGAGGGAGTGATAGAGTGTGGTTGTACTTTTAGCAATATTCCAGCAATATTACGGCGGGGAATTCATACAGTGCATCCATATGGGTATTCGAATTCGATTCACTGAGCTACCGTACCTTCCAATTGGCTTTGCGATTATGTACATGTGCAAAATGTCTTTTTGAAGTAGGATGTTATGGGAAATATAAGATAGCCACGCGATATATAGCAAAGAACAATGAAGAGCGAAGTGTGGTTTATTTCATTAACATTGTACTATCATGACGTCATTTCTGGAGATTCGAACATGCGCTCACAACTTGATGACGTATATTGGACGACGTTATTTTTGAGAAGGGAGTGTCTAGTGAATTGTTCCCCATAGATGTAGCTCGGCTACTAAGATAAACGCGATAGCCGAACGATCGCATCCAAAAGTGGGTGAGATATTACAATCGTCATTGGGAGAAAAGGTACAGGCAATCGACGTGAGGATTGTGAGAATTTGCGGGAAATACCCACCTGTGCATAAAATGGACTTTCATTGATTCTGTTGAGGGAGTCATCATTATTAAAATACGGGTTAATATTTTGAAAGCTTGTACATTTCATCATCATCCTTAAGAGGCTGTACATGATGTTGATGTCTCATATAAGAAATAAACGTCTCATAGACGTTCTTTATCGTACAGTAAACACTGCAGGGAGAATAAATCACTCGGAGCTGCGCCCATCATGGTTTATTCTCCCTGCAGTGTTTTATTGTACGATAAACAACCCCCACTCGTCGTTTGTTTCCTAACTAAAAGTTAGATTACCATTGTTTCTTGAAGATGGGGCTGCTGAATGTGATGTGTACAGCGTGGTACAGAAACAGCCCAAGTGAGAGGATCGGGCAGAGTCACTCCAGTCGACAGACAAGGGAGGTAAGTCAGATAATGTTGTCGAGTGATTGTGTGATAGCGTTTTACGCTGAGATTAGCAATGTTCCAGCAATACCACGGATGGGGATCCCGGGGTAGGAATGCATATATCGCATCCATATAAAGATTCGAAATCGTTTGGCTAGGCTACAGTACCTCCTGGCTTTATGATAATGAGATAGACAATCGTGTGAACATATAAATATGGGCAACCGAAATGATCGAGTCAGTTGATCGTTTTAGTGAATAGTATTTTCCTATGTTGTAACTTCCATCAGGACGTGGGGAGTCCTGGCTACAACAGGTCCCCTGGAACCCTGCTTGTCATAAGAAGCGACTTAATGCATCAGGTTGTCAAGACTTGAACCATATACCGCCCGCCATGATAAAATGGAATAAACTTTGCGAACAACAATCAAACTGAAGACGAGCACACCTGTGTTCTCATATTGTAGGTATTCGCGGCATCGAGTCCCGATGTCCCCGAGCTTTGTTTGTTTGTTTGTTTGTTTGTGGCTTAACGCAGCACTCAGCAATATTCCAGCTATATGACGACGGTCTGTAAATAATCGAGTCTTGGCCAGGCAATCAGTGATAGGCATCACGAGCATCGATCCACGCAATTAGGATACGATGACATGCATCAACCAAGTCACCTTTAACGGCAAGCATGGGTTGCTATAGACCTATTCTCTACCCGGGTCTTCATGGGCCGTCGGAGCTTTGATGTCTTCCATAGCTGAGCAAACGAAATACTTCACTGATTGATACTGAATCATTTACGTTAAATATACCTGAGCTGAAGGAGGGTCCATATTTATAAGACATCCTGCCTTTACTCGTCTTAAAATATTGTTTAACAATTCTCAATGCGTGGGCACATGAAATAAAATAAAACCGATAAAAAATGACTTTGTTTTTATAGGTGAGATGTCTGAGCTGTACAGCTAGGTGTAGAAGCCACAAGATCATGGGTAGTAAGACAAGATGAAGACTGTGAAGTGGACTGAAGTGGACTGCGGGATTGACTGTGAGGTGGAATGTGGGGTGGACTGGGGGGTGGACTGTGAAGTGGACTGTGAAGTGGACTGTGAAGTGGACTGTGAAGTGGACTCTGGGGTGGACTTTGAGGTGGACTGTGAGGTGGACAGTGTGGTGCAGCTTCTCTTTTGTGTTTTTTTTCTTTGTTACCTTTTGTTATGATAATTACCAATTTATTGTTATTCTGCACAGATAATTCAGGTCCAACGGGGCACAGTTTAGTAGAAACAATGCTGAGAAAGAACATGCCACAAGACAAACCAGGAACAGATGAGTTGGACCTGTAGCTCTCTACCGTTAAACAACATATTCAGTGTACAGCTATTCTATTCTTCTAAACCAAACAGATGATAAATAACACGGATCGGATGTTTGTCACATATTGCTTGAGTATATCCTACAAGATATCGCTACAATGGAACTGCATCACGCTTTGCATACCATTGTGACGTCATCGTTACAATGCCGTCACTAATCTATAACAGAAGCTGGTTAGCTGTAGTTTAATTACTCAAGACACTGGTTAGTACTGTTTGCATTGGCAAAAGGCTAGAAGATTGATTCAGGACGATAAGAATAATCTCACCCGCGTGTCTTTTGATATCAAATATATCAACACGAATTAAAACTCCGACGCTTTGGTTTAGATTTTTGATGTAACCCATTTGATATATGTAGAATATGTAGAATATGACAAATATATACTTGTGACTCAAACTGCTTATTTTGCTTTTAATATGATGTGCTTTTGTCACAGTTAGTAATAATTAGCACGTGTCATTATTGAATACTATGTTGTATTATTTTTTCAAATACATTCCAGATGGTTCATTTGTCCTTGCATCGAATACTCAATAATACCGTCAATCATATACACCAGTGTTACTGATGTTGTTAGATACAAGTCACGATATGGCTGAAATATTGCCCATGTGACGTTTCAGTTTTACTGACTTGGTTCATGCATGTCCAGTTGTTTATTCACAAAAAGTGTTAGGCCGTAGGCCTATTACACAGAAGTATTTACAGAGAGAGGGAGAAAAAAGAATTACCACTAGTTTACATATACATCCATATCCATACACATTCATACACATGCATATACACAAATAAATATTTAGACTGTATGTAATGAACGAAGTCGAAAAGCTTTGTAAACGTAGACTGCTAGATTTCGTATGATTTTAGAGTTAGTGGATGACATAAGAGCATTAAATTTATTTTTAGAAGGGGTTGTAAAATATTTAGGAGGAATGTATTCAGCTCTTAAATTATTATAAGCATTGCATACAAGCACAAAATGATATTCGTCCTCAATAAAATTCTGGTTACACATCAAACACAGTCTCTGTTCTCTTATTTCCTTAATATATCGACCGGTCTCAATTCTCAGCCGATGGGAGGAGCATCTCAACTGAGCAAGAGCAGCTCTGAATTTTGAAACATTTACTACCTTGATATAGCTTTCTAAGCCAAATGAAATTTTGTAAAGAGAGTAACTCTGGGATTTAGTGCTAGATGAAACAGCTGCATGCCAATCTTGCTCAGACGAGGCTTTTAAACGGTTTACAAATTCCAAGATAAAGCTTCTACTATTATTACTAAATTGCATCTCCCATATGTAGCCAAAACCAAACGAACAGAGAATGTGTTTGATTTTAGAGACCCAGTTGATCTTACCATTATTAACATCAAGTAATAATAATCTATAACATTTCTTAACTAATCTATTTTCAGGTAAATGTAAAATTCTGTACCAATAAGTAACTACACGCTTATAAGCCCATATGTACATAGGATACCTTCCGCATTCCCCCCGAACCACATGATTTGATGAAGATTGTTTAACCCCAAGAAAGCGTTTACATGCTAGTATCTGGATTTGCTCTAATTCTTTGTAGGTATCTACACCCCAAATCTCGGCACCGTATAAAAGAATCGGAGATATTTTAGAATCAAAAACTTTGAAAAACAAGTCATAAGGAAGAGGTTGAAGCATTTTTAGAGATTTAATGACACCAAATAGGACCTTTTTAGCTTGTAAAGCAGCACTATTAACATGCAAAGACCAGGAGAGAGTTTTTGAAAGAATGGTACCGAGATATTTATAAGAACTTACACACTGAAGTTTTTTACCCTTGAAATACCACTTTTCATATTTTGATAAAATACCCCCGTTTTTAAATACCACTACCTTAGTTTTATCCAAGTTGACTGTTAGATGATAGTTACTACAAAAACTTTCCAGAGCTTTTATGCGTTTTTGAAGGCCATACAAAGTATCAGCAATAAGTGCAACATCATCAGCAAACAACAATAGAAAAATCTGTACAGTGTCAGGGTGTAGCTGTACACCTGGAGTGCATGTTGATTCTACATACAAAGCTAAGTCGTTTATAAAAATAGAAAATAAGAATGGACTCATTACGCAGCCTTGCCGAAGTCCTAGAGGGCAATCAAAACATTCTGTAAAACAATTTCTGATCTTAACACAGTTTTTAACACAGGAATAGATGGGTTCTAATGCATTTAACATTTTTGGGGACACACCTCTGGATTTAAGAACTAGCCAAAGTTTAGATCTATTTACAAAATCGAAAGCCTTTTTAAAGTCAACAAAAAGAACATATAATTTACCACGCTTCCTAGACAGATAATGCTGGATTACAGACTGCAGAATAAATATATTATCAATAGTACTATAACCTTTCCTAAAACCAGCTTGAGAGTCACAAATTTTATCATACGCATCAGACCAGAACGTAAGTCTTGAATTAAGTACAGAAACATAAAGTTTACAAAAAGTGCTGAGCAAGGAGATACCACGGTAGTTATTGGGGTTTGAGTAATCGCCCTTCTTATGCAGAGGTATGATAACACCAGTACACCACGACTCGGGAAACGAACCATTTTCAAATAAAATGTTAAACAAGGTTGTTAGGTATGGTACTATTAAATCACTTGATGCTTTGAAAAATTCAGAAATAAGAGAATCATTTCCTTGCGACTTACAGTTTTTTAATTTATTGATAGCTTGCAACACCTCGTCTTCAGTTATACGGCTGTCAAGGATAGAACATGTGACATCATCAAAAGGATAATCTACACCATCTTTCGTAATATCACGAGAGAAAACGGTATGCATATCTTGGAATAAATTTTTAAAATGCGAAAACCAGTCACTAATGGGGATAGATGATTCCCTTTCTTCAACACCAGTGTATTTTCTTAACATTTCCCAGAATGTTTTGCAATTATTGATATTGGATGAAAGTCTATCACGAATCAAATCATTAAAAGCTCTTTTCTTACACCTTACGATATCCATATATGTTTTACGCTGCAGTGAATAGGCTTGTAACGAAACATTATCCTTTTTACTATTAAAAACATCTAGTAGTCGGAAGGCTTCTCTTCTGTGATAACCACATTCTTTATCAAACCACGGCTTGTCGCGTCCATGACGCTGAACAATCATACGCTTTGTAAAATCTGCTGCTTTCAACAAAGCGTCCGTAAATTTACTAATTGCTGCATTTATGTCTGTTAATGCTAACGTAATACAATCATCAAACAATTGCTTACTTTCATCATATGAAACATTTTCTCTTTACCGATCACCAAAGTTATCACGCCAAGTATACTTAATACAAACTTCGGGCTTCACATTCTCACCCGACATAGCGTTGTCAATTTCAGTGTTACGTGACTGAAAGGTGCAATTGATTGGCGCGTGCGGAGACTCGTTCCGAGATCCGATGTTAAAATTCTTACACAATGTAAACAAATCACTTGTTGTGATAGCATAGTCAATAACGCTTGCGCCTGTAGAGGACACAAACGTAAAATTTCCCACACTGGCATCAGATCCACATCGACCATTAAGTATAGACAAGTTAAGAGAAGCACATATATTAAGCAAAATTCGCCCAAATTTGTTCACAGTCTTATCGGATGAAAATCGCTGTGCGCAAATACCCTCACAGAGAAAATGACACTTGTCAATTTGCAGAGCTCTCATTATATCGTCCTCAACAAAATCAAAATCTGTCCCAGTGCGGGCGTTGAAGTCGCCCCCGAGGAGGATAGAGACGTCCCCCACTTGTTGTGGTACATCTATTAACGCATCCTGGAGTATAGATACGCCGCACTTGTTGGCTTTATTGACATACCAATTTGAATTCTCTGGATTGATGCATACACAACCTATAAGTGTGTCCTTAGCATTATTAAATACAGATTTCTTTAGCAAAATGAAAACACAGTTGTCACATATTTTTGACCACAAAATGGATTTTGAAAGTGTGTTTTTTATTAACAATGTAATACCACCGGATAGCCTACATTGTTTGGAGATTTGACAAGCATCAACATTAAAGTAAACATATTCAGGGAACTCCTTTGAAAAGTCGTAAGCTTTTAGCCAGGTTTCACACAATCCTATAATTGTAAATGTACGTATGTAATTAAGAAATTCATTGTCATTGAGTTTAGATAGCAATCCGTTGACATTCCAAAATAGTAAGTTCAGATCTATAACACGGTTGTTGCTTGAGCTGTCGTCGCACCCCTATGTTTTTTACCCTTGTTGCCTCGTGGACGGAGAGAACGTCCCTGATTACCCACTCTGTCGTTGCCAATGTCGATGCTGCTACCTGTATTATCAGAGCCCACGTTTCCCTGGTTTCTGTCGTCACGAGGGGGACGTCGGTCTGTAACGAATAGCTTTCCATACTTGTAGTAGCCGAATTTGTTGGCGTCCTTCAGCTCCTGCAGCTTCTCCCGCTGGCGTTTCGTCAAGTCACTGGATATGCCAAATTTCCTTGACTTAAGTTTTTCACGGAGACCAAGCGCCCATACTTTGTCTTCTGGATATAAGAACTTAACTATCATCGGTTTGGGCGATTTTCCACTCTTGTTACCCAATCTGTGTGCAGCAATAATACTATCGGCGCCGATAGGATTAGAGTTTTCATCTTCACTCGCACAGGCATTTGACACATCACACACATAATTCTTACATGCGTTGGTAGTTTCGCGGGGTTTTTCAGACAGACCATACAAGATAACATTATTGCGTCTGCTGTATTGTTCCTGTTTATCAATTGCATCTTCTATTACACCAATTTTCTCATCGATCACAGAGACAGTCTCAATATTCTCCTTCACCGAGGCAGTAGTGTATTCCAGAGCCTCAAGTCTATCTGCAATATCATCAACATCTATACGTAATATTTCTTGTCTGGATTTAATGTCACTGATATCAGTTTGAATATTAAGTAGTGTAGCATTTATTTTTGTTGATTCCGATCTAATCACTTTCACATCCTCGGCGAGGGATTTCAACTGTGACAAAAGTTCATGATGTAGTTTAGATGAATCAGAATCCGCACCAGATGTAGGACCAGGATTAGTCTCAACATCACCACTTAATAACAGAAGGACGCTACTCGTGAACTGGCAGAACTGACAGAAGTCATTGTTTACCTTGGGATGGGTCAAAGTCCACTGATAGCTTGGTGTCCGAGATATCCCATCCCGATGTAATTGTACTAATGTACATCCAACCATAGTTACACAAAAGATCACAAATGTCACACAGAATATGCGGTAGCTGAGATCGACTCCCGGAGTCCAGTGTGTGTCAGGCGTGTAGGTGTCACAATGGTCGCCATGTTGTGAGCGGGGTCGACCTGACAGGTTGAATATTCCTATCCTGGATCGCCAGAGATTCAGAGAAATACCCATGATTTGTGCGTCGCGGCCTTCCAGAGTCCCTTAACTTACGTTTTTATGTAAGTTTGACTGGATCTGTAGATGTTTTCATTGATGATTTATGAAGAATTGAGAGCCACAGTCAGTTGTGCTCTCTCTCTGTGACGTAAAGCTTTAACTCACTCACTCACTGTTAGATACAAAAGTGATCAGTAGCGTCCCGAAGCACACCTTTTCTTCATGAACACAGTTTAGAAATGGCGTCTCTCTGAAATGCAATGACGTCACCATGGAATGTGATCACGCCATGACACAATGGATGACGTCACATGCTCTTTTTGTTACTAATTCTTTTAGTTAGTCAATACGAATCTCCTTCAATATGTTGCTTAATAGTATATTATATATGTTGTTTCTTTGTATTCAGTATGTGTTTGAAAATATAACTAACCCAAATTATATATGTTGATTATGACAAATATGTTCTTGTGACTCAAATTGTTCATATACTTTTTTCCCACCATGGATACCAACGAGCACATCTGAACACATTCTGAACTCAGCTCTTTAATACAACTTCAGTTGTCAAGCAAAGATAACAGAAACTGCTTCATGTCAAGAAGGA